GGGAGGCTGTAAACAGGCGGATGGATCACTACGAGTCTGATCATCTGATCTAGTAGTGAGACTCTGAACACCCTGTAGACCCTTCCCGAAAAATAAAAAAAAAAAAAAAAAAAAAAAAAAGAAAGACAGAGAGAGAGAGAGAGAGAGAGAGAGAGAGAGAGAGAGAGAGAAAAGGTACATAGAAAATTCCATTACATTAGCAAATTGAATTGAAGAGTAGGAAATTATTTTTATAATCATACAATACTGGGTAATTTCAAGGCCCCAAGGAAAGCCTACCCACTAGATATAGTTAATTGAAGGATGTACCTGGAGTATTTACAACACTCTTAGAAGGTTGTAAATTTCATACCTCTATGGTTATTGCTAATTAAAAATCACTAAATTAACTTCTATACAATTGTTACTCTGGGTGTAACAAAAATAAACAAGAAACAAAGACATTCAGCAAAAAAAGTCTCTTTAAATTAACTCACAAGTGGTACTTTTCAGAGTTTAGGAACCGTTGCCTTAGAAGGCTGTTCAAAGCAACTACGCACTTACCTAAGGAAGATGTCAGTGCAATCCTAAATCTTAGTGTTGATCTGATTGATATCCAAGAAATTAATGAATCCTTCTTTCTACAAGTAGTCATTAATTGTGTAATGGCCTTTATAGCACTCAAAAATATAATTTTAAACTTTAAAGCATAATAACATTATATTGAACTGTAATCATAAGACAGCATATTTATGGAAGGGCTCTATAATAGAGGAAAATTTCAATACAAAAACTAAACCATTAATGTAAGGAATGGTAGTACAATAGGCTGCAAAGGATCAAACACGTTTTCTCTTTGCCATAGTTGTGCTGTGAAAAGAAATATAATTATACATATAAGAACTTAGGGGCTAGGGATGTTTTTCTACACATACTGGTGTGAAATTAAGACAATATATACACAGAATGTCAATGAAAAGGTGAGATACTACACTTGAAAGGTTGAGAGGCCTTTTCTCCAAACTGCAGGGCAACATAAGCCATCATTTGATACGACTTTTTATCCCAGCAGCTATTTCTGTGTGGTAGCACTGGTGAGGACCAAATGAACTCAAGGTGCCTTCCAGTCTAATTATTTCTGAGTCTACCATGCCTCAGAGGCATTCACCCCCATGTATCTAACAGATATGTCTACTACTTCAGTCCTCTATCTCCCTTCAACATTCAGCATTACTTATAAACCTCAACTTTCTCTGACTATTTCCCACGGACCCCGCCCAAGTGCCATGCCTCACTACAACAGATTTCATAAACTCACATGTTGGGATATGGGGTGTCCATTGTACTATTTCAAAATAGCAAAACAGCTTTCTCTTATTTCACCAGGAAATACTAATCCCCACCATGTGCCGTAAACATAACTCCAGCAGAGGCCATGGGTGACCTGGCACTTCAGCTCCATTTATCTGTGGCTTCACTGGTTTCTAGTTACTTGTTGGAAGGCTTCTGTCTACATGTGTGTGATGTAAGAAATAATGACTGTAACGCTGGCAGAGGCCCAGGCAGAGGCGGAATTTAGTGCACCGTCCAACTAAACCGACTATGGGTAATCTACGAAAAGAAAACTACCTTTAGAACAATTGTGGATCTCATCTTACAAATATCTTGATCTTAATTTATACTAGTGCGGGGAAAAATTCCAGACTGTGAGTGAGCAACCAATAACAGCAAAAGACAAAGAATAAAGGTAAAGAGAAGAAAGTGTAGTAAGACAGTAAAATTTTCATACATAATATCCTCTCATTTAACCTTGTTTTCCCCAAACCCTGAACCAGCCCAGAGATGCGTATCAGTGTCATTTCTACAAAGTTCGATATACATAGCTGACAAGCATCAAGAATACAATAATCTCCCCAGTAAAATTCTAAGAACGTCGGCAGAAGTAGTTGAATGAAAGGAACAAGGTAAGAGTGGCAAATGGGAGCAGATCAAGTCTTCCAACTTAGTCACTCTGCCACCACCTTGCTGCAGGACTCAGCGCTGTTCGAGTATCTGTCATCAGGAGTGACCAGGTG